CGTTAACAATCCGTAACATTTCAATCCAATCAATTTTAGGTACTCCCAGTCAAGCTAGCAAGTTATATAAAAGTAGACCATGAAACATCGCTGTAGGGGTTTTTAAAACGTTCGACTTGATATTGATTTGTTCAGTAACTATGTTTCACATCTAAACTTGGCTGCACTACACATTCCAGTTGAAATGACTTACTAAACACATGATTTGATTACGTGGTTACTTCTGCTTTGTTCCCGAAATGCCTCCGCAATCACATCTTGAATTTAATAGATCTAAAAATTGTATTTTCATCAGCATTCTTCATCATCTATGTATTATAAACTAATCAAAAAATCTCAGGAAAGGAGTTCTTCTAATAGCTAAAGATAAATGATGACAATATACAAATATGTCTATAATGAAGTTGAATATTCCAGATGATATTAACTACTGTGAAATAATGTTATTTGTCATTTCGTCCAACATTATAAGTGGATATAACGTTTATTCTCTTTATATTAGACTGTAGATCACCAATGTAGATGATCTATATTGAATGATTGAATACCTACTCCAGTTAGTGAGACCAGCACCGTATTGGCCATTCCATGGCATACGATTAACTGATACGCGTTAGTTGTCCTTGACTTTGACAGAAATCGATGATGTGTTTGATATTCAGTGACCCAACTACCGGATGATCTAGCTAGGACTTGGTGACATTTCACTGGCCTTACAAGACCAATTTCTAAGCTTGTTATCTTTGTCATTTTTCAGATGGTGACTGATTAGTATTAGGTTACTAAATATAAAGAATTCATTCACATGACGATTAAGAACAACTTTTAACTATAAATAAGATCTATTGTTATATGGTTGATCAAGCATAAAGTCCAGATCAGTCTTATTAATATTTGACCACACTATTACAATTCAAATTCAAAGAAATGATCATTCATTGAGAATAGTATATTCTTATTATAACTAGTTCACTTTACGTTAGCGTTCGATGATTGAACTTTAATCAAATAAGTTTTCTCAATATTTAATGTACTTCAATGTATAAACCACTTTACTTACAAGTTTGATTCATGATAGCAATGGTTATAAATAAAAATTTATTGACTAAAATTGTTTATAATAAACTATGAAAATTATTGAAAACACATGACATTTCAATACAAAAACAACAACAAAAACAACCCCTAATCATTAAATAACAATATGAGTTGATAAGATATTTATCTCATCTTATTGATAAAGTCTGGAGTTCAACCAGGTCTGTTGTGAGATAGTAACTCACTGAATACAATGATGAATGTGTCTCTCAGTTTCGTGGATTACTTGAAGTTAGACAGTAACACCGTTGGATGCTGGCTGTCTAAGTGGTCTAGAGGTTAAGCGTTCGCGCGCTCGAGACTGATAGGTCCTGAATTCGAATCTCGCATGGTGGGATCGTAGGTGTGCACTGCTGAGGAGTCCCACAATAGGACGAAACGGTTGTCTAGTGCTCCCAGGTTTTCCATGGTGGTCTAGCTTCAAATGACTCATGATCTCAACTATTGAAATTACTGTAATATCCACAAGAACCCCTTCTGATATATAATCTTAAAATACTGAAATATTTGAAATTATATGAGAGAAAGTTTTGCATGTTTCATATTGATAGTAGAACAAAGATTTAGTCTTTTAAAACGATTGGTATATAATAATATAGTTTTAAGTTGACTATATAAAAAAGAAATGAAAAAAAAACATTCCAGTTAACATGAGTAACTATGTTTTAAAAGTTAGTTAAGGATATATTTGAAAGATCATTTTCTACGGTAACTTATGTAACCTACATTTATTTGAATAATAAGAATGTTACGTCCGGTCAGTATAAGGCGAATAACCTCGTTTATTCTTTTATAAATATTAAAACAACACATACGAGTGAGCAATAGTGTTTTCAGTTCGATATTCATTAGGTTTTACTCTTATATACAGTATTATTTATTTGCATATACTCAAAGTATTAAACCAGTCAAGGGAATTTAGGAGTTAATCTTAACAATGAAAAGGGATTATATAGCTAGTCAATAATAAGTAAAAAGTACAAATCGATATTAAGGGGATGGGTATTAATAAACATATAAAGAATAAACAGTATAATAACATGTATGATTACATTGAAATAGAACGTAAGTTAACCACCCATCTTCTATCTTGACGTAGTGTGCTCGATATTGGATTACTTAAAGTACTAGCTTGATCGCAATTTACTCCATAGAATTTGATCAGCACTAGGAAGGATTTGACATATATGACATTGGTCACTACTCAGTGATCAATCATTTGTAAAGACATCTCATTCCTACAGGATGTCAGTTGCAAATTGAATAACCTGGTGGTAACATCTTTGACATTAAAACTGAGTGATACAGGGTTGAATAGCCAAGGTGCACCAGATGATAAAAATAACCTGTGTCCTGGCTTCTTTCCCGACTTGTTCTAACCACGTCATTGCAAAGTCTGTCAAAGCCCAAAAACTTACTACCACAAAAATCTTAAAGACTTACGTAGTGGTAAATACATGAATAATCAGTTTAAGTAGGAAGTTAGTAAAGAAGAAAGGTAAAGCAAATATCAGTTGAATTGGTAATTACCTAGGGAAGTGACAAAACAGGCTATATTATCCCCTACTTGAGGAACTATCATTGGTTAGTTAGAAAATGATAGAGAGACTAGCTAGATCAAAAATCCTCCAAGTTCCTATCAACTAGGCTGAAGATAAACTCCACGTCATCAAGTCGCATATATTGCTTTACTTACTTACCTACGCCTGTTACTCTTAGTGGAGCATAGGCCGCCGACCAGCATTCTCCAACCCACTCTGTCCTCCGCCTTCTTTTTTAGTTCCATCCAATTCTTGTTCATTTTTCCCATGTCTATTTCCATTTCCCGGCGTAATGTGTTCTTTGGTCTTCCTCTTTTTCTTTGGCCTTGAAGATAATAAATGGTTGCTCTGGTTGTCAGAAGGGGTATCGGCCTCGTAACTTCCGAAGGAATTCGGCTTTCATCATGAGGCGACCTTCTGATTCCCAGGGCAGAGTTTAAAAGGTTCGAATAATGTTTTCTGGTTAGCGTTTTTTTAGCGAGTTAGTTTTCTACAGGATGGGGTCGCTAACTCCATGCCCAACCCTCCTCCTTTATCCGGGCTTGGGACCGGCAGTAGCCCCCGGAGGGACTGCAGGCGGATTTAAGTTATATATATTGGTGTACATTGATGAAGATCCTTATGAGGATCAATTTAAAAGTAATATTGTTCGCTCATATATGCTCCTTGAGTTCACATAATAGAAATGTTAAATATTTATTTACAGACGAACAAATGAATACATATATTGACGGCAATTTCCCATCAGAGTTTATGATTATATTAAAGAAGTATTTATCCAGAACATTTGAAGTCGTTATGGTTAAAAAAATTATAGATTGGGTCGCATATCACTCAATCAAAAATTACAGGAAATTCATATATTACTTACTAATTAATTCCTCGAAGAATTCTTTAGAAAATCATTTCATTCAATCAGAATTCAATAAAGATTCTCAGAAAATTCTAGGACGAAAAATGACAGGGTAATACCTATTGTGGTACTAAATTCATTGTATCTCCAAGAGCCTCTTGAATATCCAGGCTACCAATAACCCCCAAAATTCTCTTATTTTTTACACAAACTAACCTTAAAGTAGGGCCTCTTTTATACTTCCTACCTTCGCTATACTATTAGGTACCTAAGTGTATAAAGAACCAGCAGGTAATTATCAAACCATTAATAGGCACTCAAGTTTCAGATGAACCATATAGCATATATTTTTCAGGGCGGGATAACATCAGTGCCAACTGGAATATAAATTCATTTACCAGAAAATGTTCAATATAATATTAAACAAACATGTCTTCAAAAATAATCGGCTTCATACAAATTAGTGATTATGAACCAAACAAATAACGGAAATCAAGAACCAATGTAAGTTACAAAACCATTGGGAATCTAAGAGTACTGAACGACCGTTTGATCAGAGTTTGGGATCCCTACGTAGTAAGCAGTCACGACCTAGCAACCGGGAATCTGACCATGAACCTTCGGTACCTCCGATGATGGCCTAACCTCTAGTCAATTGAGGTGTCACTCAACGGTATACAAGTCTAACTTCAATGAATTTACTATTAAGTCAAATCATAGGGCAATAAAATACAATGTTTAAACTGATGCAACAGATTGCTTTGTAGTACCTTTAAAAAACGGAAACGACAAAATTGAAGCCAAATCCATATTTACATAGTTTATCCTATACATAGATCAATATGCGCTGACTACTTTCCATTAACAGTTATTCTTATAGACTGAACTAGAATTTGGGACAGTATTTTGTCTAACGTTATATAAGTATGTATGCTTCGTATACGTGCACTATGATTAGAAGGCAGTTTTACCGTGGATTATGAAGTCTTTACTTCAAAGTCAATCAAGTGACATTGAGACAATTTCTTGTGTTCAAGTATATTTCTTTTTAAAAATAGTTTGCATCAAGGACTAGCGTCAACTGGCTAACCATTGAGGACTAGAAAGAACTGAAAAGTTAACAATGCCTATTTTTAGACTCTTCAACATTAATGACTAATGACTTTATATTATATTAATCTCAGAACAATCTTTTACAGCTAGCGTAGCATTTTAAGAACATTAGTTTGGAGATTAATAATTCATCTTACTGCTTCAGTAGACTTGAAAATACACTGGATATTGGAAACCGTTGTACTGAGTAAGGACGTCAATCAGTTTGAACGAACTAATTATTTAAACTTCTGTTTCAAATGTACTGTATTCATTAGTAAACATTGACATACTATGGTGATTTGCCATTATTATCAACGAATTTATCTGAAATGCAATTATTCTGAATCTTTTTATTTTACGATTAGCAAAATAACGTAATCATGTTGTTTTTTAATTCTCTATTTCTATTTTAGTATCGCTCAAACAACTAAATTGAATAATGAGTATGGTTATATATGTGAATGCAGTAAGATACCATACGATTTTATAATAAAAAATGGAATAGCTCCAGGTGTTGGAATAGTTCAAACTGTAGAAGATCATCATGTTGACTTAATTGTTATGGGTAATCGTGGACTAAGTAGACTCAAACGTACACTACTTGGTAGTGTAAGTAGTTATGTAGTACACAATGCATATGTACCATGTATCATAGTGCCACCAGTTTGAAGAAAAGAACAATCAATATTTATACATATATGAAATATCTATGAAGCTTTTTTTGAAATCATATTTTTTATACTTACTGGATTACTCTTCTTTCTTGACATTTATTCATTGTGTAATACGTTATTAGTGTCATTTTAGAAACGAAAATTGTGTATTCATTATTTGTTGTTTTATTTTATAAGTATCTAAATAATGTTGACTATTGAAACTACATAAAAAAGATGTACGTTCCCTTTTTTAAGATTCACAGGAAGTTAGGAATGATTACTTTTGTTTATGAGCAATATCGGTGGTGTAGATTCGGTTGCTCAGTATTTGTTTTTGGAATTCATATGCATTACTAAATCTCCTGCTTACTAGTTTGATGTCAAGCACTGGCTAGAAAGATCTTGAAATAACTGTTTTACTTTATAACGTAAATTCTTACACTTACGTGCAAAATGTTCAAAATCTACATTCTCTTCAGTGACCGTCGGTGTTTCCAGTTTAAATATTCAACCTCTTAATATGTTATTGCGTAATACGCTTTATAAAATCACATAGGAAATATTTGTCTCTATGTTGATCAGTTTCTGAATTTTGGCAAAGGAGGGAAAACTCGTAAAGTATGTGTTATCTCTTTTTTTCAATACCTGTGTTAGTACAAGTCTGTTAAAGTGTTATAGTAAATTATCAGTAGCTCAACTTAGGCACAGGACAACGCAGAGAGTAGTGTCCACGATCCTATCAACTAGGCTGAAGATAAACTCCATATTGTCAAGTCATCTGAGTGTATCGTAGGCAGTAATTAGGGTTGTGTTTTCGTTTATTCAGTCAATCACTTATAGCTATTTTTGAACAATTTCTATTATAGAAATAATTGGAGGTATGAAGTTTGCCATTTTGTAATTTTTCTTCCATCATGACAAAGTGTGCTAAACTTCACTCGTCCATAACATGAAAGGGTGGCATTTTTGTCGTGGAAAACTTTATATTTTTCGTATAATCCAGCAGAAACAACAAGTTAAAACATGCCCTCCATCATGGACTGTGATAGTATAAATAACAACAACAACCTACTGTGGGAGAGAACAAAGCAGATTCCAGCGGAGGAAGAAGTCCAGAAGAAGCGTTGGAACTGGAACTAAGTCACAAGGTAAGACCTCACTTAGACTCCTCAAGGCCAAAGGAGAAGGGGAAGACCAAGGAACTACATGACGTCGAGAAATGGAGACAGACATGAGAAAAATGAACAACAGTTGGATAGAACTAGAAAGGAAGGCCCATGACAGAGTGGGTTGGCGAATGATGATGGGCGGCCTATGCTCCATTAGGAGTGACAAGCGTAAGCAAGTAAGGAAGTAATAACATTCAGTAAAAATAAAAAGAAGGACACATATAACTGAATTTTATGAGGTAAAACGTTTTTAGAAAAATCTGTAGTTTTCAGTGGATATCAGACTAATAACTCTAATAACTCGAATAATAAATAATCGATAGGTAATCAGTTATTTTTTGATTAATAAATGAAAGACTTGAAAGGTATTTTCACATCTAATTAATGATTTTTATAAGTTTTTCTTGATCCGAGATCTGACTCTTATTTGATCGTTTCTGACTGTTATTGAAGTATACATGTTGCCATTCTTCGTATGTAATCGTCGAACTGAATCGCATTAGAGGATAACGAAATAAAAATAAGTAAAATACGAGAATGAATGTCAAATACGTGTATTTTATGCAGTCGTTGATCAGAAAGCGAAGCAAAACAAAGTGACGCGAGATAGAGAAGATGAGTGAGCCAACTAGAATTAATCAAGCCTTAATCAATATTTATAGTCACATAAAAATAAGTTACAGACATGTGATAAATGGGATAAAAAGTGTATACATATACGCTCATATAAAAACAATCAAGATTGATAAGCGAATAATTAACAAGGCCAAAATGTGACTCAAGAAGGATGAATAAAATGATCTGTGCAGAAGCTAGAATAAGCTATGTGAGCATAACATAGTAACCGTCACTACATATCCTCCTTGTAGAAAATCGCACACTTATTTGAAAAAAAAAACGTCTGTTTTCGAAAATATCGCAGATGAGGCGTGTGGTAGGTAGCGAAAAATTGTAACATATCTGATAGAGTACAGTATCATATGAGGAGCGAGTGTATCATACGTGCCATTTATATAAACAAATGCAGATGAATATTGTAAAGACGCGGACAAAAATTAAATGTTAGCATGCGATCATGAGTGAGTTAATAAGTGTACAGAAAATTAACATAAATTTATGTCATGACTGTCTGGACGATAAAATAGCACGTTCGTATGAGCGATCCGAAATACCGTGAAAACAGTAATAACTCGTTTATGAGTATGACAGCGGAATTAATCGTGAAAATAAGCATGGTAGAATAAAACAAGAATTGGTCTGTGATGCTGACAGAATATAAGGATAAAGAACAGTGAAATATGAATATGTTCTGATGAGCCACAGTAGAGTAAATAGTGTCAATCAGCCATGAGTGGATTCGAATTTGCACACATGGAGTTTTTGTTTGTACGATAAGACCAATCAAACCGTGAAATAATAACTGCATTGATAGGGGATATTCATCGCTGTACTGCAATCCATAACAATCATAAAATACAAAGTCAGTGTACATCGTCACGTTATGACCAGATGCCTCGAGTTATTGTTAAATATGTATTAGTAGAATGACCAGGGAAACATAATGGTTATTGTAGAGACAAGATACGCAGAGGGAGACGCGCTCGACTTCGTGTGTTTCGAAACCGTACTAAGACATGTTAGAAATACCAATACATATGGTTGTTCATGACGGCGAGTGAGACTGAACAAGAGTGTATCCTTGAGAGACTAGTTCTAAACTCTATGTTCTGACATAGTATGACGGGAATAGAATATTCATTGCATTATGGGTAAAGAATGATACAGCGTGCAGTTGTACATGTGAACGAATAGATTAGATGAACGTAATCGTTACTAATCGGCTAGTAATGCGACATCGAATACTTGATTTTGAGTATAGACATTAAAATAAAAATTATCGATTAAACAAAAAATGGCTCAAGTTTGGTTTAGATTGTAGTTGAAGAAGTAGAAAATGACAATCGCTGAGTACAAATGAGGTGAATGAACATTAGTTTCATGTCGAGAACATAAGTTCCTACTACCGGAAGTATGACTCCAAACTCATGTCTATGATACATTTGCTAACCGTCAGGGTAGTTGTGACCATGTCGTTATCAGCGTGCAGGAGGTTTTGAAAAGAGCAAGAACAAACATTCTAGCAGAATAGCATGAATTCATTTTTATTTCGTTGGTTCTCGTCAAAATGATAAAGGGAACTATGTGTATGAAATTTCTCAAAAAACGCCTCCCTGAACAATTATTTAGGTCACTGAACCACTTTGTGCAGGAGGTTTGCTCGACTGCTAAGACTGAAAATTCAAGTTCATGCCTGGGTTGCTAGACCGCCAATTTACTTAGCAGGTTCCAGGTTTTTCGGTGTATGAGCAGCTAGTAAACATGTCGGAAATATATATGACATGCGACAGCCATGTATCCACAAAAATGAACGATAATAATTAAGCCACTGGTATGATAAATGATCCAGGACGTAATAAAGATGATTGATCCTAGCAAAAGATTTATTAGAATTAAAAGTATCCACAGACATAATACACGATACGAAATGAAAAATGTGTGGTATGATGACGTAAAAATGGCCTCAACTAAGTGAATGAGTGTAAAAATAGGGCAAAAATAACGGAAAAAATTGGAACGAACTCACTTAGATCAGGATAAATTTACGTTGTAGAATAATAAATACAGTCCAGTGAATCTCGAGTGTCATAACGTGAATGAAATGTTCGGTGGTTGATATGTTTGCATAAATGTCGTAATTTAATGTCAGCGCGAAGAAAAATAATAATTCCACGTTAAGTGATGATGTGATAATGAGACCATGATAATTATTTGAATCATAATGAAACAATCCGCCCGATAGATCAGTGAGCAGAAGTAACAAAAAGCCAAAGTATCGATAAGATAATACGATTTGAGCATGTCGATGTTATGCTGCACAGGCTTCACTGAATGAATTTTATTAGAGATTGAGTCGTTTTGGTTTCTCGGTGATTAATTCAGCCACTTCTTTCGTTTATCGGACCTGTAGAGTTCGAGATATTCACCGTCTGTGCAGATTTTCAGGGTGCGTTTAGTTCGAAGTCAGGCTTGTCACTTTACTGGTGTCGTGACCTCTCTCTGATTTGATCTTATGGTTAGAAACTGCGTTATTTATCGATTAAGCTGGCTTTGCTGAGTTTGTTTGTCGAAAAAAATGGAGTGCAGAAGGTTTATCATCGACATAGTTTACTGCGTTAGGTTCGGCTTCGGCAGGCTCAACACTCAAGTGGCCCTTAATCTGACCCAAATGGTTCGTAAGAATGATAGTTATCGAATGATTGCTGTGGAAATATACATCCTGGCTATCCTCATATATAATCGTCGAATTAACTCACGTTAGTGTATAATGGAATTAAATAAGTAAAATGCGAAAATAAATTTCGAATGTGTATATCTCATTACAGCGTTGATCTGAACAGGGAAACTATCGGAGAAACAACGTGTAGTAGAGAAGGCATGTAAGCCAACTCGATTTAATCAAGCGGTAATCAATATTTATAGTCACACAAAAATAAGCTACAGACATATAATGAATAGGATAAGATGTACAAATACATGTACGCTTATATAAAAACAATCAAGGTTAATAAGTGAATAATTACGAAGATCAAAATGTCAGTCAACAAAGATACATAAACTTGCTTGTTCGGTAGCTAGAATAATCCATGTGAGCATAACAATATTCACTGACACTACAAGACAATCATAACGTATGTTTACTTAAACAATCTTTGTAATTTCTATATTATCGAAGAATATGTTTGATTTAGTATATAAAAATTGATCAATCTCATATGTTACTTCGATTAGTTTTACACATTCTTAAATAGTTGCGTGATCAGATTATAATATATATGCATATAACTTACACATTTTAGCCTGTTTCTAAAAAAGAAAAAAAATTTGGCAATAATCAACATACTCTGATTATTTTAATAAAACAAAACAAAAAACGTTGAATATTATTTTGCATGATAAATTTGTAAGTTTCCATAGGATCAAAGAAAGAAAAAGAAAAATGTTGACAAATTCTAGGAATTTCGGTTGAGATCATGAATTGATTGATGTTAGACCAACATTGGAAACCTGGAAGCACTGGACGGCCGTTTCGTTCAAGTGTGGGACTCCTTAGCAGTGCGCACCACGATCCCGCCCTCGGGGTCCGAACCCAAGGCCTTAAGTCTCGTGCGCGAACACTCAAACATTTGGACCATTGGGCCGGTATCCATTGGATTTGCACTGCTGAAGAGTCTTAAAATAGGACGAAACGGCCGTCTAGTGCTCCCAGGTTTCCAACAGTGGTCTAACACCAATCGGTTTATGATCTTAATCAAAAATTTAATAATTTCCACAGCCCATATATTGAAAATTCTAGGAAATTTTGATTGACTTGAATTTTCGTGATTTAAAATTGATTCGAAATAATTTTTTGAATAAATCAGTAGTAAGTACTATGATTCAATGTAAGATTACATGGACACCAAATCTCTTATTTAATTAAATGAATAGTCAAATTGATGTCATCCCATCAGTATTTT